CTAATTATATTACTAAAGCAAGCTATGCTAATAGAGCAAAAATTAAATGATGTAACTAAAAAAAGAAAATTACATGTAAAAAAATAAAAGATTGATAAAAAAAAGTTTGGGTACATGTAAAATAAGTTTCCCTATTATTTACAGTTCGTGAAGTAGTTTTTAATTTATATTCGGTAAAATTTGTTATAAAATTTGTATACTTTACTAACATGTAATCCCTATAATAAAACACACTTTCGATTCTTTGTTATAAGGCACACTTTGAAACGAATAGATGACTCCTAGTATTATAAATCATCATGTAAAATATTATTTACATTTTATCCCTATTTTTGCATACAAAAAATTTCCCTATTTAATATTCAATTCAAATTTTCTATAGCTTCTCAATACATGATTTCTAATTTTAAATAAGGATAAATGTGAAATTTTTAGTCATTGTCAAACAAAATTAATAATTTAACTACTTCTTTTTTTTTAATTTCGGTGTGATGTTTAAAATGTTTTATAACGATGATGGGATAGAATATTTAATTTTAATTTTCCCACATCAGTGTGGAGGATGTGACAAAATTAAATCGATGCATATATTATTCCTTTTTGCATGTCTCAGTTACGTCAATCCAGTCAGCTAGAGAATCATATTCCAATTATTACAATGCTTTTCTAAATTTTGGAAGCGAAACAATGATCAACGTATGAAGACGGAGAAGAGAATATTTTTGAAGTACCTGTGAAGAGGTAATTGCTTGAAAGGATACGTATAATCTGAAATTGCGTTACCAATGTGCTTGAGTTAGCATGAGGGAAAATTATATCTTCCCCTCCTTGGATAAGTAGAAAAAAGTGAGAGGGAAAGAAAATTGGAGAGAAAATAATACGTGCGAGTCACATATTTTTCTCTTCAACTGTTTCTTTTGTAAAATGTGGAGATTTCAAAGGAAAAAACTTCTTTCAAAAAACTCTCATTAATTAGTTTTTTATTCTCCTTCTCCATCAATTTTGGGAAAGACGTCAATATCATGTTACATATTTTCAATTGTTGAATTATTTTGAATTATTTAAAATCAATGTACAAAAAATAATTTTGAAAACAAACAAAAAATCGGTTAAAATAATTATGAATTAAGAGTAAGATTAAACACTCAAACGTATCTATGTTTAATTTACAAGTTTTTACATACATGTAATTCAACAGCAAGGATGCTGGTTGAGTTGAACTATTGCACGCAAAAGATGCTCCACTGCTGGTTTTTTTTTTAAAAAAAAAAGAAAACAAAATGCTTAACTGCTTCAAATGTATGGGTGCTTCCATATTAATTCAAGTCCACTAAACATAAAGTTAAAGTGTCTTCAGTCGCTGAAGTATTATATTAGCTGCATTCAGCACTTCGAACTATTTTGTGATGCATCTATTATCATGAAGCCTTTTTTTTTTGTCTTGGTGCTTGATGCACCAAAAAAGATTTTTTGGGTACTAGATGTAAAAAAAAATATATTTTGAGATGCTAGATACATCAAAAAATATTGCAAGTAGCGAGACACCTGAAAAATATATTTCGGGGTGCTGAATGGACCACAAAATACTTAAAAGTACTGAATGTATCCGAGAAAATATTTCGGGGTACTGGATCCATCTTATCCCCTTAAACATATCAACAACAAATGATTCTAACAAGTTATAGCTAGGAGTGAAAAGACATGCTATTTAAAAAGGAGAGACGGATCTCATATAAACATATGTGCAGAAGCAAATATTCTAATGATATATTATTCCCTTTCGCATTTCATTTCCCACTCAAAAGGGATCGCATTCTTCCACATCCAGTGCCTATCTCTATAGACACACACACACACAGTTACGTCAATTCCAAATAAAAAGACGTGCCATTTACGATGTCTTCCAGAATATAATTGCCTAAGATAATAAGCAACGTTCAATGTCTCAGAATAAAAAGGACAACAACTAGTTTGGCTGAGCCATTTTTATAAAGGGGATTCCACAGAGGAGCAATATAATAATATGTTATATTATGCATCTTTGCACAATTTGTAAAGAGCTAGCTAGCCATGTTACTAATGATCTGCATGTAGTATAGCTTACTATAATATATATAACTGAAAATTAGGCTGGGAGATTGAAGAAAAAGTACTACTATTTTCAGTTCTTAATATAAGAACTAGTTGAAAGATTGGATTTAGCATTAGATATAAGATGTCAATTAACTTTATCTCCACAGTATTAATGTTACTTCTGTTATCTTCCATATATATTTGGATGTTCATGATTGTGCAGAAGCAAAGAGATCGAAATGCGGTTTCGGCTTCATCAGTTTTATCTTTTATTTAAAAAATTGAAGGTAGGAGGTCATGGAGGAAAATTGGCGAGAGTGAATTTAGTGTTTTAAAATTTACATTTTAGCGATTAGTATTTTTAAATAATTATAATTTGTATGATGCTTTTCAATAGATATAATGATTTTCTCTAAAGTCTTTTCTCTAATTTTCCCCTTAACAATTATATGGGTTTGTAAAGCTTTCAACAAATTGGCAACTATTTTATTGTGGGGACTAGTCTAAAATCCCAAAAGATTATTTGGGGGGGGGGGATGGGGCTGCCAAATTTCTTGGTGGCCTTGTTGGTCAGACCTTCAGTGGGTAGCTTTTTTCTAGATCACCAAGTATTCTCACTCAAGAACTAGCTTATTATCCATGGTAGAGGCTTCCTAATATGAAAATCATAGCAAATTTAAACAATTATACCAAGTTTCTAGATGGAAAAATTGCAAATAAAGACCCCTTAATATGTAAAATTGTGATTTGGGACTCTGAATTTGGAGAATAGCAAATAAGGACTCAGTCCCACTTTTGCAAATATGAAATGTGGGTGAAATGTCTGAAATGTCCTTCAGCTAAATTGTGATTTGGTTTACTATAGTATTCCATTCGCTAAAGTGAACTTGTCATTTCTCGTAGTCAACTTATCATTTGTCATACCCTCAGCCAAGTTGTGATTTGGTCTACTGAAATTGTCCTTCGCTAAAATGAACTTGTTATTTTTCATAGTCAACTTGTCATTCAGCTGAGGGGTATTTCAAACATTTTAATACAATTTGATATTTGCAAAAGTGGAATCGGGTCCTTATTTGTTATTTTCAAGTTGAGGGTCCCAAATTGTAATTTTACATATTAGGGGTCTTCATTTGCAATTTTCCTTTTTAGAATATATGATGTTGAGAAATGAAACATTAGATATAAGTATTTATATATGGTACTATTTTTCGTCATAAACATAAATTACCAATACACAATGACATTGAAATCAACAACCATGTTTACAAAAACAGACCATTTGTTAACCAACATCTAGTAGTAAAGAAGTTTCCAAAAATGCTCGCCCATTGGGTAAGACATCATGTACCAAGAAACTTGGTGTCGTTTTCTTCTCCTGCAATACATGAAAGGGAACAAAACGAATGATAAGCACAAAATTGAAATGACAATTAGTAGAAGAAAGTAGAAACTCACTTTAATGTGTCCCTTTGTCATTGAGCTTTCTTTTATTAGCAGCCTTGAAATGTCTCAAGAGCTTCTTGGCTGATTCACCAAGAGAAGAAGCTATGGCTTTTCGTTTCAGTGAAGTCCTTGAAGTATTCATGAACTCCCTAGGAGACACAAAGCAAATATTCTCCATACTTATTTGCTGCTTATCAACATAAACTCCACACTTGATTATGGAAATATATGACCCAAACATTACGTGTATGTCCACGTCGTTCCAATCTGATTCTAGAAACTTATTAAGCCCCTTCATTTCTTCTTCATGAAAATTCTGAAGTATATCAAATAAGAACACATGGCCTGGCTTACCGAAAAAGAGCAACACACGACCTTCTTTACTTGCATCAGGCACATAAGGAACATCACCTTCTATCCATGACATTTGACGACCATTGATTCTCATAAAAACTTGGAAGGGAATACTCTTTCTTGTCTTTGTTTTCCCTGATTCAATTGCAACAACAAGACGGGGAAAAGTTTTCCCATGAACACGAAGAGACAATGTGCCTCCTTTACAGCAATAATCAATCCAATCAGGAAATGTTGTTGCCGGCATACCAACTCCTTTGCAAAAGAAGATTTTAGCCTGATTTATCAAAACAATAGAGACCAAAGGTGTTTTCAGATTCGAGAACTACACATAAAAGAATACTTCCAATTTACTCATCTGGTCTTTAATGTAAGAACTACTTAGTTAATTGAGGAGATTAAGGAAGCTCAATAAATTACCTAATTCCAACAAAATTGACATGATAACGTTAGATTATATATCAGTTTATAAAGTTAAACAATTAGTATCAGAAAAATTAATAGATATAAGAGAGAAAAATAGATTAAATCTTACGTTCAGAACCATAAATCCCTAACTAGTTCCTACATTTATAATGAAGGAGTAATTATTTATAATTATAGATATCAAATAACTTAATCTCCCATTCATTGGAATGTTTTTAATATGATCTTCCTATCTTTCTATGTCTTTAGATGAATAAAAATTATTAAACATTACCGAATGCTGAAAAATTCTAATTATGACATGATTTTTAGAAGTTTATCCTTGCCATAGCTATAAAGCCCAGGATCATGACAAATGAAAATTATCAAAGGCATGAGAAAAACCTGAGACCATAAACGGCCTACTGACTCAGTTGTTAGTGATGTGCAATTCTCTGCCCTTATGTCATTCAACCCTGATGGCAACTCTGGTATGTCTCTTAGCCTCTTGCAATTATGTATTTCTAGTACCCTCAAATTAGCACACTCTTTAATACAGTCAGGAATTGACACAAAATCATTTCTTGATAGATCCAAGTGATGCACATTCTGAAAACATTTTAGAGTAAGGTAAACATCTTCATCCAACAAGCCACAGTTTCCAAGTCCCAGGAACTCCATGTTTGCGCAACTAGTCAATGGTTGACTCTCTTGCATTAGTTTCTTTAAAGATTTTCTACCACGAGGTTGAATGCCTCCCAACAAAGTGTGCTAAGATTTTGCAACATCAATAAGCTGGTCGGAAGCTCCCTAAGACTTTTGCAAGAGTGTATAAACAAAGTATCAAGCCCTGAAAGATTTCCAATGGAAGGTGGGAGCTCTTTAATAGCAGTCCTATCTGCAGAAATACCGGTAAGTGCATCCATCTTTCCGACGATACGTGGCAAGTAGTTAAGACTCTTGCAGCCAGAAAGAGTGAGATCTTCAAGACATGGCATGTTGATTTCACATGGAAAGCTTTTAAGTTTGGTACATTCACCAACATCTAATAGTATTAGCTTATGAAGAGATCCCACAGAATCATGAACTTTGATCAGATTGCAACATTCGCGAAAGCTCAATGTTTTTAAATTTCGAAAATGAGACATATCAGGCACTTCTCTCAAGAATTCACATTGCGAGAAATTCATATATGTCACATATTCATACTTCTGCAAAAAACAAAAATATAAGGTTATTTAATTAACAGCAACTATCAATAAATATTATATTTTGAATAGAATATTTTAGCATCTCTTTGGTTTATCTATCTTATATTGAATCTCTGAAATCCGAAATAGGTGAGCAAGTCTATATATAGATAATAACAAAAAATACAATGAGAGTTAAAGTTATTTATTCTTGATTCTTAGAAAAATTATGGCTCCAGAAATTTGATCAAAGAAAAAAGATAGAAAGAAGTAAAAAAAAAAAAAGAGTAAAAATATGTACCTGGAATGGCTCTTCCAATTTGAAAAGACTTCTATATAACTTGAAGCAAACTAGTTTTGGAGGAGAAAAATCTGGTGGTAAAGTCATAGAAGGATATCTCTCCCAATCAAGCAATATCAAACTATTAGGAAGATACTTGGGACTTGTTAAGAATTGGGTATTTCGAACAATGAGAATTTGAAGATTTTTCATCTTCTGAAAGGCCAAACCATTCCATATCACTTCTTCTTGTTTAGGTGGATCAAGGATTATCCCTTCAATATCATTTCCTCCCTATAACACAAGTTCAAAAAAGTGACATTGTTAGATAATTTTTCAAATTTATACAATTTAATGTACGTAAGGAAATAGATAACCTTTTTCTCTTACTAATTATTTTGCAGCACATTAAGCACATCTTTGTAATACCATAACCTGCTACGTTTACCAAGACTGGAGGGTGCCTCTTGCTTAACAATCTCTCTAGCCATTTGTTGAATTAGATCATGCATGTGCAAGCGACCATTATCAGCAACAGTTATTAGAGATTTATCAACAAGAACTTCAATATAAAACCTTGTCCCATAATAACAAGCTCCTAGTATGTCTTCAACATATTCCAAATTCTCCTCTTTAAAGAAACAAGCAATGTCCAGAAAAATACGCTTAGCACCCTCTTGTAAGCAATCATAGCTTATTTTCAATATCTCATGTATTGTTCTTCCAGTGATTTGGTTATATTGTTGTAGTGTATATCTCCATTCCGCTAATTTTCTATGTCTCAAATTGGAGCCTATCAATTTAAGGCCAAAGGAAGGCCACGTACATAATCTGTAACACCAATTGACATACTTTTGTAGCTTTTGGAGGGTGGCTCATTCGAAAGGCATGCCAACAAAACAGTTTAAGAGAGTCATGCTCATTCAGCTGTTTCATTTCATATGTTTTTTTAAGATCGTGTGCAACTAGCAATTGCTTGTTTCTTGTTGTTATGATGATCTTGCTTCCACAACCAAACCAATCAGCCCCTCCTGCAAGTTGTTCTAACTGCTCAACTTCTTCAACGTCATCAAGAATCAACAAAATCTTTTTGTGAGAGAGTCTATGCTTTATTTTTGATATTCCTTCATCAACACTACCAAACTTCATCTTCTTTTCCTCAAGAACTTCTGATAGAAGTGTTTGTTGAAGGCGGACAACACCCTGATATTTCTTTGACACTTCTCTGACATCAAATAAAAAACAAGCACCTTCAAAATAGAAGAAGATTGAGTTATAGATGGCTTTTGCAAGGGTTGTTTTACCAATTCCACCAGCTCCATGAATCCCCAACATAGAAACACTGTTATCAGACTCATTCAAAAGTGACATGACTTCTTCTATACGGGGCTCAAGTCCAACGATGTAATCATCGTTATGGAAGCGTTTAGGAGGCAGCCTAGCGTATGCATCTTCAGCAATACCTTCAATAAATTCACCTTCGTCGTATCTACAAAAGCGAAAATTTTTACTATGAAGATGATTTTCGTAACATGTTCTGTTTTATATATTGTACTCTATTATCATATAATTTTTTTTCAATACAGTTATGTTTGGATTCTTTGAAGAGATTATCAATATTAATTGGTTCTCCAAGATTTTAATACTTTCACTGTATGTGTCTAGGATTTATTTGAATCCCTTATATACAAGGTGCATATTTGAAGTTCATTTTTAGCGGTTTCA